CTACTACTACTACTACTACTAATGACCGCATTGCTTAGTGACAATGGAAATTCCGGTCCCAATTAGGGTTGTTAAGTGAGGACTACCTGTATTCAAAATCTTTGTTTTCAAATTGCTAAGCACATTATTAGAGCGATTTCATTGGAAGTGCATTTCAATTGTTTGCAGCAGCAGTGGAAATGTTTACTAGATATTTTAGTGCAATGGAGATGCTGAATTTTTCCAACAACTGCTACTGAAAGGAATTATCTTAAAGTAATTCAATTACCTTTGACCAGTCATAACTAGAAGCATATGCAAATATGTTGCCGTTATGGTTGAAGCAGCAAGCAGATATTGGCTGGTCCAGCTGCTCAGATGTTTTTAGCTTTGTCCGTGCATCTTTATCCCAGAAGCTGAATCTGCCATCAGACCCTACAGTTGCAAGAGTGCCGTGGGCAGGATGAAAGGCAATTCCATTTACCTGTTAAGTAAATTTTAAAATGCAATTTAAATGTTCACATAATCTCAACAATGAAGACTGAAGCTCCACATTATCAGGTTTATAATTTAAAAGACATAGAAAAAAATAGAACAGGAAAAATAATCACTATAGAAGTACTGTTCTATAGTTTGTACAGTATGCCGTAGTATCTCCTCTATTTTTTCTTAGATATTTTAGAACGTTATGTGTTTCTCTTTTTTTATCCTAATTAATTGTGATTCTTTTGTTTTATTTGCTGGTCTATGATTGAATAAAAATTGATTGATTGATTGATCACTATTTCCATAATCAGATGATCTGCATCCTAAGGTACAGAAGAAAGTTGCACAGTTGTAAGGCACAAATGAAAGTAATAGTTCCACTTTACTCTGCAATGGTGAGACTACACCTTTATTACTTTGTCCAGTTCTGGACACTTTATTTTAAGAAGGGTTCACAGTAACTGGAATCAGTTCAGGTTAAGTGTAATAAGGATGATATGGGAAATTAAGAGAGACAGAAGGACCTGGAAGTGTTTAACGTTGGGACAAGAAGACTAAGAGGCTTACGGCAGCACTTTTCAAATACCTGAAGTGATGTCTCACAAAAGAAAATCAAGACCTGTTCTCTGCCAGCAAATGATGGATTCAACATACAGAAAAACAAAGTCCAAGTGAATGTTAGGGGAAAAAACCCTTCCTAACTGTAATAGCAGTTTGACAGTGGCTTCAATTATTTCCAAAAATGGTGGGCTCTCCTTGCCCGATGTGTTCAAATAAAACATAGATGGTTATCTGCCAGGGATGCTTTAAGTTAGATTCCCATACTGAGGTGACTGGATTCAGAAACTTAAATATTTCCTTTGAACTTCATGATTCTTAAGCAGCCAGTATCATTCACTATCGGCTACGCTGATCTGAGATTAAGTTCAGCAATATCTGGTAGGCTACCAATTGCCAACTCTGCTTTAGACAATGAGACAATACTGCTATTCCATACGAGGTGGAGGTTAAAGCATTCACTTTCATTATTTTTCTCACCATCATATGTTTATTCTCGCAAAACAAATGATTACCATTAATTTATAGGGGAAGAGTGAAAAATTTATTTTATTTATTAAATTTGTCCCCCACCCATCTCCCCCCAATGGGGGACTCTGGGTGGCTCAC